CTAAAATTAACTCAATTATAAAATTTAAATTACTCTATTTTATCCAATTCTTTACTTTTCGTGCAGGTTTCTTCTGCCGGTTCAATATTGGAGTGTATCTGCAGCTTCGCACCGCATCATTCTGCATAAATTTCCCTTCTTCTCCTCTAAGGGGCTTTTTATGCAAATTTAAAAAATATTTTATTGAAATTTATTTTGTAATTACATTTTATTAATTAAAAGCAATTAAATGAGCCCAATAAAGGCCATAACTTGCCCATACCCCCTACAGCAGAGGTGGCACATTATATCACGCATACTAACGGATATGGATAAAATATATATTTATATAAAAGTTATTACTAAACTTTATTTATTTATTGCCTAAGAGTAGAAAAAAAGGGCCAAAAGAAATAAAAGAAGATAAGGACGAAGACCAGAACAATTTCTAGGTGTGGTTGAGGTAAACAGCTCTTAGGGTTTAGGGTTTAGGGTTTAGGGTTTAGGCTGTCTTCTTCTCGAGTTCCTTCTTGTGCAAAAGAGGAATACCAATGGAGATGCAAAAAAAACAACTTAAATACATTTTTATGAATAAAAAGTACATCTTTTATTCGTCAATAATATAAGGAAAAAGAAATAAGCCTTCTCCCCCTCTCCCCTATGCTGACTAACGGCTGCGAACCCTAAACCCTAAATTGTAAACCCTAAACCCTAAAATGTAAGCCCTAAACCCTAAACCCTCGAGTTTAATGCAAATGTATTTAGGAGTTAAGATATACAATTAAACATTTAGTTGTCTTCTTTGCGAGCAACAGAAGAGATGAACTTTATTAACAAAAAAGAATAGTTTTATTTTATTTATTTATTTATTTATTTTCTTTATTGTTTGTTGCTTCTTTATCTAATTGTTTGTGGCAAAAAGAAAGAAGAAAAAGACAGTGAATCTGTCTTGTGCTGCAGCAGCAATTCTTGCTGCTGCTGCTGCTGCTGCTGCTGCAGTGTAGCACAGCAAACAGTGTTCGTTTGTTAAATAGTAGTACAATAAAATATATAAATAAATAATAATATAAATAATAAACAGAAGAATTAATTCTTTTATTATTAGTTATTTATTTATGCACGTAAGAAGGTTTCCTTCTATTTATATTTATAGAGGAATTATTTATATTATTTGTTGCAGTAATATACACAAATAATTATTAGATATTGCCTCTCTCTTCCCTTCTTTCTTTTTTTTTTTTTCTTTTTTCTTTTCCTTTCTTTCTCTCTTTCTCCCTCCATCTACTTTCTCCGTTTCTGTCTCTGTCAAGGCTACGGAGGGGAGAAAGGATTTATAGTCCTTCGTGATGATTTAGCGAAGAGATCTAGGGTTTAGGGTTTAGGGTTTAGGGTTTAGGCTGTACTAACATAGATAAGAGAGTTTCTTATAACAAGTAAAGGTGCACAAGAACCCTTAATAATAATACAGGAAGGAGGAAGATGATGAGTCTTCCTGGTTGTATGCAGAGACGCCGCAAACATTAGACAAGAATATTTATTTATTTATTTATTTCTTCCTTTTTATGGCAAGTTAAGGGTTTATCTGCATCCTTAGACAGGCTTAATACTAAGTGACGCGGTGTACGAACGATTCACACTGAAGAAAAGGAACAATAAAGGGGAAATATAACTGCATTTGTTGGTGTAATAAATGAATAAAACTGCATAAATAAATTTAAACAACTTATTAATTAAGTTTTTATTCTTTTTTTTACGTTAATAATCATCGTTTCCTCATATATGAAGATCCTTCTGTACCGTGCTACGTCACCCCGTTTACTGAATCCAGTATGCAGAGACGATTGAGGGGTAAAATAGACGAAAATAAGCTGGACAAAAGGATTAAATAGAATAAAAATACTTTTCTTTCATATTTAGATCATAAAAAGATGAAATTCTTCTTCTTTTTGCTGTAAAAACTATGTATTCATCTTCTGCATGCAGATGCTTCTTCCGTCGGAGTGTAGGTATGTATACGTATACACCCCGTAGGCGCGCAGGAGGAGTGCAACATGAATACAGGTGTTTATTCCCCTTCTTTTGTTTTTTTTTATAATATGTTGTGTAGAAGTTGTATTATTGCACTTATTTTTGCTCCGAATTAATCTGGGACTCCTTTAACCCGCCGCGTTTAAGGGGAAACCCGAAACCCTAAACCCTAAACCCTAAACCCTAAATATCCTACCTATCGCAAGATTGTCTAGGGTTTTTGGATTTGGCGACCGTCAAATCGCACATTTTTCTTTCGCTCTTTTTAATTTCTATTTTCTTGTCCTTTTAAATTTATTGTGACAGTTTTTTGCTATTTCTTGTTCTCTCTTGCCTCTCCTCCCCTCCTCCCTGCGGCCTGCTGTTCGTCGGGCCTGACAATATCATAATCATCATAATCAGCATCAGCAGCAGGATAATTAGCAGCAACAGCAGCAACAGTATTATAAGCAGCATAAGAAGCAGGAGCGTCTCCTGCTTTTGTCTTTGGTTG